AGCAATCTTAATTCCGTCTTGGGATTCCTCCAGTCCAGCCTTCCGCATGATGTATTCTGCATATAAGTTAAATAAGCCAGGGGACAATATACAGCCTTGTCGTATTCCTTTCCCAATTTTGAGCCAATCAGTTGTTCCATATCAAGTTCTAACTGTTGCTTCCTGTCCTGGATATAGATTTCTCAGGAGGTAGATAAGGTGGTCAGGCACTCCCATTTCTTTAAGAACTTGCCATAGTTTGCTGTGGTCCACACAGTCAAAGGCTTTTGCGTAGTCAATGAAGCAGAAATAGATGTTTTTCTGGAACTTCTGGAATTAATTGCTATTATGCTGATTATTAAGCGGTTGTTGCGTAGCTTTAATTGACTGTGAGTTGATTGGATTCCCTGTGAAGTGGTTCCCAACCTTGGGTCCCTTAGGCGTTCCTGGAATGCAACTCTCAGAAATCTTGGCCAGTACAGCTGAGTGGTGAGGGCTCCTGAGAATTGCAGTCCAAGAAGATCTGAGGCCCCCAAGGTTGGGAACCACTGCATTATGGGAAGAAGATCAAAGAAGGACTTCTACACACAGCCTGTCCCCAACCTTGGGCCTCCAGATGTTCTTGGACTACAACTCCCAGAAGCCTTCACCACCACTTGTGTTGGCCAGGATTTCTGGGAGTTGAAGTCCAAGAACATCTAGAGGCCCAAGGTTGGGGACCATTGCCCTATAAGACCATCCTTGGGTGTTAAGATCTTTGGAATAAACCCTCCCGTATAGCCCACCCCCATCCACCCAGGCTAAGGGTGGGAGAAAAACCTTCCATGTGAAAATCCGGAAGCCTGCTGCCAGTCATCATCTACAAATTATATGGGACTAAGTGGGCCAGTCCTTTGACTCCATATAAGGCAGATGTACAGCATATTTCCATGGCTGTTTGGAAAAACATTCTTTTGCAGACTCCCAGGTTTCTGACATCAAACTCAGAATGCCTGCCCCATTCACCAGCCAGATCTGATAGCTGTTGGCTATAGGGACTCTAGGAATTGTAGTCTGCAAAAAAATAATAATAATAATTTTCCCCCAGCCTCTGATTTCGCTGAACACGTTGAGATTTCTTCATTAGAGATCACTCATTTCCTAATAGAATGGCAACTCCATAGCCCAGTGGCAGAGCATATGTTGTGAGTGCATAAGATTGCATGTTAAGTAGCACCTTCTTTTTGTGAAAAAGATCAAGTAGTTGGTGATGGGCAAGGTCGTTAGGGCTGGGTAATTGCAGGTGTTGTAATCGTAATTAACCTTGTCCAAGCTGAGATTCTTTCATCTTGTGTATTATTTTGCTCCTGTTAGGAGAAGATGGGCAACTGATGCTTTTCTAGATCTGGCAGGATGCTCTCCTTTAGAGGCCAGAGGCATAAACACGTCATTAAAGAAGGCAGACTTTATACCATCAGCTCAGTCAATCTTGACTGTTTGTGGAAGCTAAGCAGGGTCATGCCTGGGCAGTACTTGGAATAGGGGACCACCAGAAAATAATAGGGATCTCTAAATACTGCTGAAAGGGACATGGTGGCGCTGCAGGTTGAACTGCACAGACTTTATACCATTAGCTCAGTCAATCTTGACTGCTTTTGGAAGCTAAGCAGGGTCATGACTGGTCAGTACTTGGAATAGGATCACCAGGAAATAATAAGGATCTCTAAATACACCTGAAGGGAATGTGGTGGCACTGCGGGTTAAACTGCAGAAGCCTCTGGGCTGCAAGGTCAGAAGACCTGCAGTCGTAAGATCGAATCCACGCAACGGAGGAAGCTCCCATCGCTTGTCCCAGCTCCCGCCAACCTAGCCATTCAGAAGCATGCAAAATGTGAGTAGATAAATAGGTACCACGGCATTCCGTGTCTAGTTGCACTGGCCACGTGACAACGGAAAATCGTCTTCGGATAAAACGCTAGCTCTGTGGGTTGGAAACGGAGATGAGCACCGCCCCCTAGAGTCAGACATGACTGGACAAATTGTCAAGGGGAACCTTTACCTTTACCTAAATACAGCTAGGAAAGAACCCATCCTTCAACCCTGGAGAGTTGCTGCCACCGCTGTGCTAGATGGCTCCGTGTTCCAACTCTAAAGCAGCGTTCTACGTTCTTATGAGGTTCTCGTCATTGCAGCCTGCAATTTGAAGCTCCCTGTTCTTGGCTACAGGTATGGCTCCCAAGTTATGGAGAAAGTCCTCCAGATGGCCCAAGGCATTGATGTGGGTGAGATGCCATCATTTGAGTTGGTGCCAAGTGCCAAGGGAACCAAGAGGCCCCATTCACCGTTGGATGACTCTCCCACTCGCAGTGAGTATCAGCTTCCTCCCCAAATCTTCCTGCTGACCGCACAGGTGGCTCTTTGAGTGACAGCTGTTGCAAAAAGACGGGTGATGTCTTGCAACCAAATAATAGGCAGAGGCATGTGCGGTTACCCACTCCTCGGTTTCCGATTCACAAGATGGCCTGTCTGGCTTGCAGTCTTCCAAGAGAGTTGGTGTGGTGTTGTGATTAGGGTCTTCTTCTTCCTTCTGTCTGCCTGTCTTTCGTTGGGTCAGCAGCTCCACCATTCAATTAATACATAGATCAGATCATATTCACCCACAGTTTAGTGGTTTAGGTCTCTCTCGGCCGACTGCAAGAGTTGGGAGTTCAATTCCTCACTGGGCCTCCTGGGGGGAAGAGCCAGCTTGTGTGGCCTTGGGCCAGCTACGCAATCCCAGGGCACCCCCAGAGGAAGGCAATGGGAAACCACTTTTCTGGCACCCCCAGAAGAAGGCAGTGGGAAACCACTTCTCAGGACCTCCTCCCTAGGAAACCATGGAAAGGACCACCATCTCAGGGCCTTCTCCCTAGGAAACCATGGAAAGGACCACCATCACTCAGCATTGACTTGACGGCAGACAGCCATGGTTGATGGTCAACATCAAGAGTATTGGGGCAACTGACACCAAGTACTTGTGGAAGGGCAGAGAGTACATTGACACAGGTGTGAAGTTCTCTGAAGTTGCACAGGACTGTGTTGGCATGAAAACCTCCCTTTCCTAGGTTCACTTTGGTTCTGCCACCTCCATTCCATAGCCTATTAAATGACTTCCAAGTAACCCAGTTCCCTACCTTATGGGGAACTAGACTTCCCTCGCCTCTCATCCACTCATGGCAGCACTTTCCCTTAAGAACGGCAGAGTTCTCACTGTTGGTGGTTGAGTGTCCCAACTGATTCCCAAGAGCTTTCAGAGAACGTTGCTCATTGTGCAGGCCTTTTGCTTTGTATGTTAGCAAAACGTCTTCTGGGTCAGCGGCATGTGATCTGTGGTTAAGAGTGTTGGGCTGATTCCTCGGAAACGCCAGTTCTAATCCCCCTTCCCAAGCCATGGCGTTCACTGGGTGAGCTCAGACCAGTCAGCATCTCTCAGGACTGTTGTTTTGAGGCCAAAATGAAGAAGAGAAGCGTGCACACTATCTTGAGCTCACTGGAGGTAAAGTGAAGTATAGATATAAATAATGAATACATAGAATTGAACCCAGCCCTGCTTCACAGCCAAACATCTACTCCTCTCCTATAGGACGTAAAGCATCTAACTTCTGCCTACCATCATTTCCTGGATGGCAACTGGTAGATTCAATTCTCAGCTTGGGGGCCCTTAGTCCAGCTACCCAGCCTGGAATGAAAAGAATCTGATCTTCACCTTGTGCAGTTTTTTAAATTTATTTCTGCTTATCAGCCCCTCTGAGTTGCATTGCCAGCAAAAGATATAGGGGTACGTGCTATGTGCACCACATGTTCTGTCTTACAGCCTTCAGAGGACCTTTGTAGGTATGTGTCTACGGGTGTCCTTTTAAATCCTGCCCTTTTCCCAAGGCGCCCCGGTTTCTATCCTGCTCTTGTAGGGAACGCCAGTAACCCTGCAAGGGAGGCTAGGCTGAGACAGAAGAACTAGCCCACCACCAACCTTCATGGTCACAGGTGGGGATATGCAGTGGCGCCTCGCTAGACAGTTACCCCACATGGCAGTTTTTCGCTAGACATTGACTTTTTGCGATCACTGTAGCGATTCGCAAAACAGTGATTCCTATGGGGGAATTTCGCTGGACAATGTTTGGTCCCTGCTTCGCAAACCAATTTTCGCTAGACAACAATTTTGACAGCTCCCTCCGTGCTCGCAAAACGGGTGTTTTCGGGACCTAAGTTTAGCAAGACAGCTATTTAAACAGCTGATTGGCGGTTCGCAAAGCGGCTTTCCTATGGCCGATCTTCGCTAGGTACGGGTGTCATTTTAAATCCTGCCCTTTTTCCAAGGCGCCCCCGGTTTCTTCCCTACCCTTGCAGGGAATGCCAGTAACCCTGCAAGGGAGGCTAGGCTGAGACAGAAGAACTAGCCCCACCACCAACCTTCATGGCCAGAAGTAGGGATATAAACCTGTCCCTCCGTAGTTTGCTGTGCCCCAGGGGAAAAGGGAATGACAACCCACTTCTGAGTACTCCCCACTTAAGACAACCCTGGAAAAAAGATCGCACTAAGTTGAAATTGACTTGGGGAGCACCTAATTTGTTAGTATGTAGCATGGAGGGCACTTGGTGATTTGTATTGCTCCTTCACTTGTGATCATCGTCTAGCGGGGCACCACTGTAATCCTGTCCCTCCATAGTTTGGTGTGCCCCAGGGGAAAAGGGAATGACAACCCACTTCTGAGTACTCCCCACTTAAGACAACCCTGGAAAAAAGATCGCACTAAGTTGAAATTGACTTGGGGAGCACCTAATTTGTTAGTATGTAGCATGGAGGGCACTTGGTGATTTGTATTGCTCCTTCACTTGTGTGCAGTCCCGCTCATGTCACCCAATGTCTTTGAAAGCCTAAGGTTCTCTCTTAACCCTGTAAATCTCTTGCCTTCCACAGGCCTTGACACTCCAAGAAAACAGCCCCCCAAATTTCGGGTCAGGCCTCGTTTCGAACCCATCCATTTTGTAGCCAGCAACACGCAGGACAAAACTAAGGACCCGCCTTCGGAAGACCAGGCACAAACCGCCGGCGAGACGATCACCACCCAGCAGATCCAGAACTACGCGGATCGGGTTTTCAGCAGCTTCAGTACACAGGATGGTGACCGCCAGTTTTCAAGCTTGGTGGGCTTGGGCTATGGAAACAGCCAGCCGGAAGCCAAGGCGGTTCCCAAAAACAAGGATACTCCTGCCAGTGGTGGAGCAGCGGTTTCCGGAGCGACGTCCCTCATCCAGGCTGCCTCCGAAACGTTTCCCAAGTCCGTTATAACAGCCAAGCAGTGTTTCATAAACAAACTTGTTGCCGCCGTCCGCAAGAATCTGGCCAGCCCCGATGCCAGCGGAGGTCCAGACAAAATTAACTACACGTATCTTTTGACGCGGTCCATCCAGGCTTGCAAGACGAACCCCGAATATATTTATTCTCCCTTAAAAGAACTCTCCCCGGCAGACCTCCCCAAGAACAAGAAACTCCTTAAAGACGGCTTTGCTTGTGAGGTCAGGTGTCAGAACGTGTATCTAACCACAGGGTACGCCGGCAGCAAAAACGGATCGCGAGATCGGGCGACGGAACTGGCCGTGATGTTGTTGCAGAAACCTGTGGAGGTCAAAGTGGCCCAGCGAAAGTTCAAGAACGCCACCCGGGAGGACTTAGTCTTGTGCGAAAGCGGTACGTCTCCTACTGAATTCCCACCAGCCCTCAAGCAACTGGATGATTTTATTGCTGCCATGAAAGAATGTACCCCAGGGCAGCCAAATTCAGAATCTCAGCAAGGTTCCAGTTCAGGGAAACACTGGACAAACTTCGTCCTAACCGAAAACGCCAGCGACGCTATTGGGATATTGAACAATTCAGCTTCCTTCAATAAAATGACAGTCGAATACAAATACGTCCTGATGCCCAACCGCCTCTGGCGCTGCAGCGTCTACTTACAGGATCACTTCTTGGCAGAAGGCTACGGCACTAAGAAAACCAGCAAGCACGCAGCAGCGGACGAGGCCCTGAAAATCCTCCAGAAGACCCAGTCCAATGCTGCAGCGGCTAAAGCAGTCCAGGTTCAGAAAGTGGGGGGCGCCCCCCGGGACCCCTCCAAAAAGAAGGACTTAAAGGACCTCGTTGTGTACGAGAATTCCATGAATCCGGTGTGCACCCTGAATGACACAGCGCAGTTCAACAAGATGACTGTGGAGTACGTCTTTGAGAGGATGACCGGGATGCGGTGGAAATGCAAGGTGATGCTAGAAAACGAGCTGATTGCCGAAGCGATTGGGGTCAAGAAGACCGTTAAGCATGTGGCGGCTGAGGAAGCGGTCAAAGCTCTGAAGAAGACGCAGCCAACGGTGGTCAACAATCTGAAAAAAGGCACAATTGAAGATGTCATCTCCAGAAACGAGATCTGCGGCCGCTCTGCCGAGGAAGCGTTGAAGCAGCAGATCAAGGAGGACAACATTGGGAACCAGATTTTACGGAAAATGGGCTGGACAGGCGGTGGCTTGGGTAAAAGCGGGGAAGGGATCCGGGAACCGATCGCGGTGAAGGAACAGTTCAAAAGGGAAGGCCTTGGCCTGGATGTTGAAAGAGGGTCAAAAATCAGCAAGAAAGACATTGAGGGCATCATCCAGAACTATGCCTTCTCGGACAGTAAGATTGACCTGACTTTCTCTACAGAACTCACCAATGATGAGCGTAAACAGATCCACCACATAGCCCAGAAATATGGGCTTAAGAGCAAATCTCACGGCCAGGGACGCGATAGATACCTAGTGGTCAGCAGAAAGAGGCGCAAGGAAGACTTGTTAGACCAGTTAAAGCAAGATGGCCAAGTTGGCCATTACGAACTAATCATGCCTCAGGAGAAATAAAGCTCAAGGGGTGTCAATTTCTTCTGTGGATGCCCAGAGTTAGGAGAAATGTCCCATTAAACAGCGCAGCAGTTGCCTATTGTTGTGGGAAGGATGATTTAAAATAAAAAAATAAAATGTTTTATTCGCCCCTTTAATTTCTAAAACTTTTATCAGGAAAAAAAAAAGAGTTAGAACTTTTGAAGTCAAGAGTTCTCTCCAAACATATGTAGTATAAGTCTGGATAATATTACTGCAGTTACTGGTTTTATGAAATCTCTTGGGGGAAATGGCTTGTTTCCTTTACATTTTACTAGTTTTGTAATAGTAGAAATGCATCCACCCCAAGGGAAGTTTCACGACCATTTTAAAAAGGGATGACTCCTGTAATTTTTTTATTTTGCTTCTTTGAAAACAAATTTGGAGTGGGGTGGGGAAGAGATGAAAGGAGACAGCAGTATGAAGAATACTATGTGTAAATATGGTATTAATAAATAGATTTTTATTTCTGGACATGCAAAGAATAGCATGTTTTATATTTAAAAATGGGTTACATTGTGGGGAGGGGTGGGTGGGTGGATAGAAATGTTTTCAGCGTATTCAAAATGCAGCATTGATACAGTAAATAGTATTTTGAGTCTTTGGTTCATGAAACTTTGTCTGTTCTACAGTTGTACCATAGAAGCCTTGAACACACAATACGGAATCAGTGAATCCTAAGAATCTTAACCTTGACCATTTAAGGTTATCTTGAGGTGTAGCACAGACAAGGTTTACCACTACAGTGTGTTGTCTGCTAATCCAAATTCAGATTGTTGCATTGGTCCCAGCAGGAGAGAATTGTGAAGAGGGGCACACCTTTCCTACTGAGACCAGTTAAAAACACATTCAGCTACAGCTGTATTGTGTCTCCAATTTAGTCATCAAAGCTATATTGTTGGGAAGGGGCATGTAATGCCAGGGTGTTCTGTGGGGATCTGTTCTACCTCTGTGTGATCAGAATTATACAAAATAAGCAAAGGCATGGAAAGGTTTGCTTAATTTGTGTAATTCACAGAGGATCTGGAATTTGTAATACTTTGGCATGGATATAATTTTTTATATATGTGTGTTACAGAACATGCACGGTTCTTGGGGGTTTACCTTGACAGGTGAGGCTTCTGCTTTTCCCAACAGGAAATAAAGTAATGCACTTCCTTCATCTCAATAGCTAAGATTAGCTCTAGAAGCAATCTGCTTTTGCATACCCTGTTGAGCAGTGAAGTATTTAAAACACATACACACACACAACTGGGGGTGGACGGAGTTGGCATTTGCTTATTTCTATACGTAGCCTCCAAGTACTCGTTTTCTTATGCTGCTGCTTTTGTGTACATGTGCTTGTATATCTCGTATGGAGATCAACAAGTAAAAGGTTCTGTCACCACTGTAGCTTGTGTGATTTAAGTGTGAGAGCTTTCTTTCTCCTAATTCAGAAGATGAACCTGCAGGTAAGGTTCCCTCTCTTCCAGCTATGAAGTCTTCAAAGAAAACAGAGTCACGGAGGAATACGATGCCTTTTTCAGTCATGTCCCATCCATTAGCACATTGCCTTGTCCCAGGCAGACCCAAACAAAATTAAATAACCAACGTACTTGATTCTTAAGTCTATTTACTAAGTAGTAAGACTGCACAGATGTTCATAGGTACAAAAATCTTCAGGTATGCACATATAGCCATTAGGAGAGGTACTACCCCCTCTCTCTGACTCAGTGGGTGAAGGAAGGTGAAATAAAACTTCCAGGGCACTACAGGAGTCCACTTTCTGGAAGGACTTTAATGGTGGTGCTCTCAGGATGATTTTGAAAGAAAGCCACTGAAGGACTTGCACTACAGCAGTCCTAGCCTCGGAGCAGTCCTGAACTTTTGGTACCACCTTCAGCAACTGCTTAGGGCAGTAGAGCTACCTTTCTGTAAATACAACAGGTGTGTGTGTGTGTATGGACAGAGGAGGGGGTAAAGTATAAAACCAATCAATTAGCAGTTGAATACACCACACCCACTTCACTAGGCTCTCACTTCTTCCTGTTGCATGCCATCACTCCTTGACTCGGCTCCATTTTAGTAACATAAAAATATATATACCCAGCCTTTGTCTAGGCAGGTTTCTCTCCGTCAAACACTATATACTTTTCGATATTCATGTTTCTCTATGAGTGGCACAGTGTCCTCTATCCCACCTTTAGTGATGTAGTTGTTAGCAAATCACTCTTCCTTAAGCGAGTGACAGTAAATTAACTGATGGCCTCTTCAGAAGTGCATCAGAACAAGAGTCTTTTTAAACCTGCTTCCCTTAATTCTTTTGTCTGCCTTACTTTATTCTGTCTTTTGTAGAACTTTAAAGAAGACCCATTTTGAAGAAGGAATGCTCTCTTGTCAAGGAGACTGATTTTATATCACAGAGGCCATGTGGGGCAGGTGTACAAGAAATGCAGCTTTATAGAGGTCACTGCACTGCACACCCAACGTTATTGACTGCTTACTCTGGTTGATGGGAGATATAATTCAGCCACACTCAGGTAATAAGGGTCATTATTCTTGACATTAGCTGATATCCTGTTGCTCAGCACAGTAAGTCACAACTATAAGTAAGCCACTGAATCAGTTGAGATTCAGTAAGTCAACTAACTCCTTTGTGCAATCCACTGATTCAGTGTCCCTGCTCCAGGTGTAACCGAGCAACAGGATTTCAGCCAATATTTCGACAGGGTCCCTTCAGCGAATTTCGAAGAGCGGTTTGCAACACCATAATTTTCTGAGTGATTTGTCAGAATAAGCACAGTTATATATGTCTCGCCTTTTTCAACACTAAGCACTTAAGGTTACACATTTATTTACAAGTAATTGAAAAAATGTACAGTTTCTTACATGGGTTACTTGTGCAAAGTTGTACTCAACAGATCAATGTATACACAGAAGACACTGGAAGAGCAGACAAACACACTGATCAGTCTCCTCCCACACTGCTGCTTAAGGTATCCAAAATGTACAAACTGAGCTTTACAAAAATGCATTTGCAAAGGTGGATTCAACTTTATAGAAACTGAGGGGGGGAGGGAAGAGAATGAGGCATGCAGCAGTAGCTCTTATGATCTCCCTATTTTTACCAACAGAATGTAGAGCGGCAGCATCTGATTAACAGAGGTAGAAATTAAAATCAAAGACTGAAATGTGTTTTCTGAAGCATTCTGGTTTCAGTCTGCCTTTTACCATTTGCTGAGCAATTGTTAACTCCTATCACTTCCATCGCCCACCCCTACCAACAAAGGCTGTGAGAGCTTGTGACAAGTTATGATACCCTGTGCTCCTACAGAAAGGATATTCACCACTGCACCTGGATGTGTTCACCACGTTACATTGACGTAGACTGCATGTGACCCACAGAAGCTGACAGCCCCCTTTTCTCCCCTCACCGACTCCCTCATGAGCTTGACAAGGAATCTATCTTGTCATTCTAAATACTTTTCACAATTTACTGCTGTGAACAGAAAAACTCAGTATGAGAAAACCAAAAATCGGAAAATTTAGTTCTCCACAGAGTACTTACAGATGCAGTGAATTTGATACGAGCAGTTAAATGACCAGCCTGGACAGATCAGCACTTGAGTCATAGTTAAAAATGTATATTGTATATAAACATCCCTTTTGTTTAAATCAAGCTACACATAAGCATCACTGTGTATAACACAATTACAATTAAAAGATTCGTGTACACTACAGAAATGCACAATACTGCCCCTAAGACTGGAGATGGTAAGACCACAGAGTGGCATTTCAGCCTCAGTTAATTCTTTTACAAGTAACCCAAGTACAGTACATTTGACCTCAAGGGGGGGAATGGGAAGGGGGTGCTTTCTGATGTCCGAGGAGAAAAAAGCTTCAGCGAGGGTGGGTGGCAACAGCACAACAGCTATTTTGCTTTCAAAGTAAATGCAGTGATGCTAGGAGGAGGAGGAGGAGGATGACTCAGACACATATATATATTTTCCTCATCAGAGTGTTCATTTGCATCATCCAGGGTCAACAGTCACGCCAACTCTGTTCGACTATTGCAGAAACCCGTTTTTCATATTCCCGCTTATTCTCTTGGTATAGTTGAGCTGCCTGGCTGTTTGCTGGGCTGTTTGGATTGGGCTCATCCAATAGAGACTGCATCAGAAGAAAAAGACAGGTCAGGCTTGGTCATAGTTTCCCATCAGCAGCTGACAGTAAGGCTGATTGAACACATTCAGAATGGGAAGGGAGGCAGCACACGTCGGCACCCCAACTCCTGATATGTCAAAGCTTTTCTTCACCAATACCTAATCCTGTTCTTTGATACTCTTTTAACACACTGGAAGGACAGAGTGGCCCGTAGAAAGGAAGGCAAAGTCAAAAGCGAGGGGCTCTCTAATTCTGCTCTTGGTCCCCTCCTCATACAGTATCTTACTGCCAATTATGCACAACTCTTTCTTTTAAACACAGCTGTAACTTGTCTGCTATGTTGCAGTTTCATTTAATCTGATAATACTTGACTCCCAGCTAGAAGAGAACTTTGGCCTCCATCACCTTTTCTAGCAGCAGGGCCAGGGCCCCACCGGCCCTCATGAAATTGTCTACGCTGACCCCGGGGTAAGCTACATGTTTAATGGAAGTAGGAAATGAAACTGCTTTTCAGCCTATCAAAGGTCCTGTGAAGGCCCAGGCGAACTAGCATCTATCTGTGACCACCTCTCACGGTCTTGTACATGGCTTTTGGGCAAGCCTCTGGCAGTGGGCAACTTCTGAACGCTAACAGAAAGTGGAAGAAAACAAAAGACTGAACGTGTGGGGAAGTAACAGTACGGGGCTCAGAATAGCAGAAATAAAGTCTACAGAGGGCAGATTTTATGAATGGTTTATAAATCTCCAAGTACACATACAGCATCTTAACATACAACCACTTTGCTACACCAGTTTGTAGAGCCATTTCATCCCTTTGTTACTCTGCCCTTGGCAGACAATCTAAATGGTACAATTTTTTTATTTTCCTGGTTAACAGTCCACTCCAAACAGTATCAGCAAGGTTGCTTATAGCCCTAATGTTACCTGTATGGATGTTAAGATAGAAGATACATCATAGGTCGGACTCCAACGATTCTGAAGAATATCCAGACATATACTACCATCTGCATAGACTAAAAAAGGAAATTAATGGGTTTTACAACAAGACACATTGCATTTTTCTTTATTACCAGCTGCCACAACACCTCACTGTCAACATCAGCGTTTCCTAATGTGGTGGTCATGATCCCCAAAGGCATGAAAGCTTTTTGAAGGGCATCTTCTCGGCATGAAGCTTTTCCCCCCTTCCTGGGTACCACTGCCCCACCACCCTGGCCCATTTTTGAAGCCTTTAGCCTCCTCTTTTCCCTACCTTTAACCTCCCCCAGCCTGTTTCCTCCCCAGTTTTCAATTAGTGGTGGTGAAGTTGGCAGTAGGAGGGTCAGCAGCAGCACTGATGGTGCCAACGTGTTGAGGAAAATGTGGGGCAAATGATTTAGGCAAATGTGGGGCCTTGCAAGTTACTTGGCGATTATAAAAGGAGGTAAAGAATAATAATAAAAAAAGGTTGGGAACCACTGTTCTAGCTGTTTTGATTACAATGCCCATAATCCCTTACCACTGACTATAAGCCGCCTCGGGAGAATGGAAGTTGCAGTCTAGTCTCTAGTGGACCCTCATGTCTCCCCACAGCCATTCTCTAGGCAATAAGCACCTAAGAATTTGTGCCTATAATACTGTGTTTGTACATAAGGGAGGGAACAGCCCCACTCTATTCCACTGACACTTTCCGCTTTATAATCTCAGAATTATGCTGATGCATTTTGAGCAAGAATTAAGCAGTAGAAATATTTTGTTTTGCAGATACATGGAAGTTGCCCTAGTAACAAGGTACATAGAGTTAACTATTGTGAATACTGCCAAAATATGCCTTAGAATTCTTAAGGAACAGTTATGCAATGCACTTCAGTGATGACGAAGACATTTACAACTCAGATGCAAAAGCCTTGGTGGCTGCAGAAGAGCCACTTGCCCTCACCACTGCTATGCACATCACTACATTTTTAGAGAGGTACCTACCATTTGGATGAAACATTTTAGACACAAATCTAACAGTAGGTGGCTTGTTTGGGTATTCTTCCGTGAATTCTATGGTAAGCTTGAAAGTCCCTGCAATTGAGAAAGGTGGCTTCACAATCTTATTCGTAGATGGATTGTGCTCCCTTTTGCCCACAGGTGGTCCCACACAGCTGAAGGCTCAATAGTTGCATAGATTTCCCTTGTGAGAGATTCCACCAGTCAATCTCTTAACGCTGGATAGCCAGATGCCTCTGAGCTGCTTACGAACAAAGCATTTCCATTTAAGGACTGCCAAAAGTTTATATGATACTTTATACAGTACAAGACAATGGGTTCCTGCCCAGGCAGCTTACAAACTATAATTCAAAACAGAGAGGCAGCAAAGAAAGGAGTGTGAAGCACAGGCAGGAAAACATCAGTGCTTTTTTCCATTACATCAGAGACAGGCAACTTGGCAGGTCCAGGGTCCAGTCTACTATCCCTGCCTCCAAAAATACACACACAAACTCACCAAAAGATTAAAAATACCAGGCCACCATCCCATTTTTGGCCAAAACAAGGCATACAGAGGTGTGTGCTCCTGGTTTTATAGTAGAATCATGCTTCCTGAAGCCGTACTCTTAATTTTGGTTTGTTTTTACACATGAATAAGTATACCAACCCATCCACACTCGCAGCAGTGAAAGGCCTCGGGGGGAGGGGCTATCCGAATTCTATGCACAGATATGGTGGACTTTGAGAGACTTGAAGGGAAAACAATGTCAGCATGCAGTAAGTTGTAGAAATGAGTCCTAAAGCAGCAGTAGTGGAATCTACAGAGAGCAGAGCAACAAGAGGGAGTGGAGAAAACAAAGGCAAGGATCTGCTTCTTTTAAAGGCAGAGCCATTAAGGATTCTGGATTTAATGCCAAGGGTTCTATGCCAGGCCCAGGGGTGGACAGGATGACAGTATAAAGGTTAAGAACTGTCACATAACTGAAACACCTATGGAGGTGTATACTTTTTTTAAAGCTGCAATCATCAAAATAAGAAATGAACCAGTTTTTATTGAAGAGATAAAACATATTTTTGTACCATGGTAAAAAAAGAAGCAATATCCTAGTCATCAAAGATATACTGCTTCTTTCATGGAAGAATCTACTTACATGGTGAATGTATTCACTATCTTGGGGCAAAGGGATTAAATGCACAAAGCTACAGTTCAGCCATGTTCTCATCCTTAACTTGCAGAAAACAGCTCAGTGCTTTTACATGGAAAAAAGAATGGGGCATCTCCTCTCTTTACAGCATATATTGGATGTGGGTAGAGCATTTGTATCTCTTCTTTTACGTTACCATAGTCCATGCATCTGTGGTATGGAATCCTTAGAGGAATTAACATATGGATCATATTTGATGAGGAATGGCTGTATGTGTTTAATACTTACCATCTTCAAAGGGGGTTCCCTCAGGCCTGAAAGAGGAGACAGCGTATCAGAAACTCACATTGTTGAACTGGTGGTCAGCAATCACAAAGTAAAGGGCAGTTGAATCTTTTCCCTCCTCAACAGAGAAGGGTGTTTCAGAAGGAGCAAACATTTGGGGAGAACAAATAAACATAAGCAGGGTCACAATTTTCTATACTGGATAGTTTTTCTATAGTTGGTAACTGCAATGACAGCCAACACCCTCCACTGCTGCCACCATGCTAATCCTGCTCCAACTGAGCCACCCATTTAGGTCTCCCCACAAGGATAGTGCTCCACATTGCTAAAGAAGCTGCACAGACAGACTGCTCATCATTCCTTTCAACTCCAACTGTACTGCTGAAGCAGGAAGACAATGGTACAATCAGGCTATACTGGACTCAAATCTATTGCAAGCTGCTGTTTGCCTTAGCAAACCCTCCACCAAAAGAACCTTCTCTCTCTCAATAAACCTACAGTCTGGAGACTTCTAGTTAAATGGGGGTACATGGCATGTTACAGAGTGACATAAGAACAGCAAAAGGTTCTTGGTTTAAACTATGGTAAAAAGGAAGGGAGAGCCAAGGCTAATGGGAAGAATACGTAGTAAGAACTGCTAGATGTAGATGAACTTTCTGTGTGTGTAAGATGTAAGGCTGGGGAACTCAGCCTTACATCTGTCAAGAGATGTCTTTGATTTCAGTTTTGAAAAGCCCATGCCAGAATGGCCAGTGGTAAGGAATTGTGGGATCTGTAGTCCAAAATACTTGGAGAGGAAGTGTTAAAGTACATAAATACTCCTCAAAGATATGAATGACACCAACCAGTAATACACTGTTTTTCCAGCTACTACTGTTCAGGTACAGACAATGGAGAAACAGGAGGGAAGTAGATAACCAATTTTGTTGAGAAGACATTTCTAACAGATCCCACTTTATAGCTGAAGCTCTCAAATAGTTTACACAGATCATAACTGAAACTATGATTTTTAGAAACGTAATAAGCAAAAACAAAACATTACAGATAATATGTTAAGTAGAAAACCCTTGCTTGAAAATGCTAGCTTCATGCATTTCATTAGAGAGGACGCACGGTACCAAGTTTCAATGCGAGCTGTTCCTGGCATTGCTTCAGATGTTGCGTTGCCCAAGAAAACATCTTAAAATAATTTAACAGCACGTGGAGATAAACATGAAGATGGAATAAGTAAATAAGCTTCCAGTTATAGAAAGAATGGAATAACTACTGAAGATTGAGGCAGAAGCCCCTTCCTCACACTCTCACGAAAATAAGTCTAAATGAGCTAATAATGGGGAAGAACTGCATTCTGGCCTTAGGAAACTACCAAGATGCACTGAGTAGAGAAGATTATGTTCTGATTTGACCAAGGAAACAGCTCTTCAATCAAAAGACTAGCAATGACAGAGAAGCTTCCTTCAAATGTTTTTTTGCCAGTGCTGCTGAACTTCCCCTGCAAAGTCCAGCCAAGCTGAAAGCACAAGCTACTTTCTCTAGGATACTTTCAGTTAATGACGAAGCCCAGCCACTGTCTTACACAAGTCTCCCAGAGCACACCCCAGCATCCTCCATTATGTACAGCACTTCCTTGGCAAAATATATTATTATGAAAAGAACTTCTACTCTAAAATTGCTAGGATAGAAAAGCTGACAAGAGGTGGATTCAAATCCTTGCTCACCTACCAAACTCACAGGGAACTTTGAGCCAGTCCATCGCTCTCTTACAAAAGGTCAATAAATGTTGGGAGGAATAAGCATCGTCTCCCTGCCTCTACAAAAGCAAAAGACATCCTTTTCCCTTGATTCACACACTTGCTAATGTGTTCAAGAGGAGGCAGAAGTACCATGGGAAGAAAAATGGTCATGGTGTATGATTTCAGTAGCTTCTTTTATCTAGACCTGTGCTTTCTAACCTTGGGTAAACCAGGTGTTCTTGGTTTACAATTCCCAGTGCCTTCAACACCAGCTGTCCTGCCAGGGTTTCCGGGAGCTGCAATCCAAGAACCCTCTGGGTTACTCAAGGTTGAGAACCACTGATTTAGACTATGTCAACGATAAAATGCTCCAAAACAAACGATGCAGCTTGAAGTCACCGCATTTCTCAAAACCTTTTAAAAAGAAATCTGTTACGCCTTATGATGTAACATGGAAGACTTTATTCACTATTCACAAGAATTAAAGTGTAACAGAATAACATCATAACAGAACAATAACAAAACCACAAAAGTCATTTTTAAAAGAGAAAGAGTCAGGACAGATGGATCTATCATTCTGCCTAAAAGAACAGAATAAAAATGTAAAATGTCCTGAAGGCTAACTTGCAAAATATTTAAATACGGGCTTCCTCTGCTGACAGTATCTGAATAGTAACCCATCTAATCTGCTTTAAGACTGTAGAGCAGATTAAAAGCAAACAAGCAGACACAACACAAGAACCCTTAGTAATGTTACCATGCATAATCACATCACCCTGACCTCTTTGAAAGAAGAGGAGATATACTTGACAGCCCCAACTTTATTACTACAAAGTTCATACACAAAAACATGAGTGCCTTGAAAAAAAGAAGCAAGCAAGGCAAATAGGAATTGTGATGGTCAGGACTTTGCTCATCATTCAACAGATACAAGGCTGTGTTCCACAATAACATTATTACTATCAAGTCATCTGCAGCCATGAGAGAAACTACAGTATTACTATAGAAGAATGAAACCATTATAACGAAAATGGGTGTTTTTATTGTGTACTCTCTGAGCGAGCAGCAAGATATAAATAAAATGACAGCAAATAATACTGAGGATCAGCAGTTTCAAGAAACCACCCCCCTGTATGCCCCTTTTCACAAGACTGCAATTAGCAATTACTGTCCTGTCATTTATGGTACATAACACCACCCTCCTGCATCCACTGCAAGAAGAACCAGATAGAGTAAAACCTGTTACGGGTTTTTTTGTTTGTTTGCTTGTTTTGTGCAGGAAATAAGGACACTTTGCAGGGCCGGCACCAGAAACGAAACAAACTGGTACCTTTCCTATCTTACTTTGCAAGGAAGGGCTGCTAAAGAACAAGAGGGAGCATCTGAGCATCCCACGTTTTTTTTCCCAGCCATGGAAAAAGGGAGCGGTTTTCCTCATCTCCTCCGGGTGGGGAGAGAGGTGGGGGGGGCGGCAAGGGGATCGGGGCCCGGACTCACCCGAAGATGACGGCGTTCCACACCATGATGTTGTTCTCCGAGGGGGCCCCGCTCACTCCAGCCGGGGGATCCTCCTGTAGCCTGGTTTTGTTTTGCACGGGAAGGGTGTGGGGGGAAAAAGAAAAAGAGAAAAAAAAGGGGGGGCCACTCAGTCCAAGGGCCAAGCACCAGAGAGGCTCGCTTTCCACCCAATTAACGCAAACGGCGTAACACCTCCCTTCCCTCCCTCAGCCTCGGCCGCCCGCCCTACGCAAAGAGCGCGGCCCTGACGCTACGCCACCGGCGTAGCGTTCCCTCCGACGCCGCCATGTTGGATCGCCTCAGTTCTTCTTCCCCCTCCCCCCCCCACCGCCACATAGACCCCTCACCGCCGCCGCCGCCTCAGCGCTTACCGTTTGAAGTCCCGCATGAGGCGCCTCCGGGCGGGCGTGGACATGGCGGGGCCGCGGTTATAAATCACTCATACACCGGTCCACGGAAAGGCGGGACGACGAGGGCGACGCCGAGGCGGAGACGGGGGCGAACCCGAAGCGGCGGCGGCGGCGGCGGCGGCGGCGACTGGGAGCCGAGCGAGGACGGGCTGTACCACTTGGGCCCAGCAGTGGGGGTGGGACAGGAGTAGGCGGTCGGTGGGGCCGACGAGGTCGCCTTAACTACGGCAGCGGTAGTAGCGGCGGAGGCTGCTGGGCAATGCCCGACCGCACCACTGCCGTTGCGAAGGCGGGGGGGGGG